ACACCAGGTTTACAAATGTGAGATCATCATAAATTAATTAATTACTAAAAGTATGTTCCCATATAAAATTTTATCGAGTCGAGTAGATGTCAAGGAGAATTTCTTTTGATAGATCACTAATTACATTTTTAAGATCATGGGCCGGATTCCCCTGATTTTTCATGAACTTATCATGTTTTTGGGAAGCTAAACTCTTGGGAGGGCATCTCAGAGACTAACTTCACACCTCCTAGACTTTGGGACACTGGATAACAGAGATGTCCCTTGAATCAGACACATTCAGTCAGCAGTTTCACAGTTGCTTGCCATCATGCTGTTAGTTTCTCCCCCAATTGAATTTAAAATTAGCCATAGGCATAAATGGAGTTTTACTTTTGTGCCAGAGAGAGCAATAGGGGGATATTATTTAGGGCCGATACCGATATGGTGGCCGATATATCGTGCATCCCTAAAATTAAGTTATATCTGAGGTGGCATACAAAGGGTCGAAAATGAATACATGTGCATGTGAATTATTGAATTTAGAAATGTATTGGGTATGAATAATATATATATATATATATATAAGATCTGATCACAGCACTTACATAAAAAAAGAAAGTTAAATTGTACATTTGTTTTCATTCCAAATGATCACAAAACTCATTTTGCCAGTGCATTTGGTGCTTGACTAGAGTTAACTTTGAACCCTTAGCATATAACAAAAGGTGCAATTACATAGACGTTTTAAATGCACAGAGGCAGCATAAATGTACTCAGTAATCACAATCATGGAAGATTATGCTTGCTGGTTGATCATGCTTGCTGGTTGATTGTTGATTCTCATGAGACATATTATGGAGAGATACACCTTTCCGTTCAATCGGTCCCAAGTCCTGTTTACAAGCTCACTTTGTACTATTATCCAGTCCACAGGCAGACCATGCGCTGTAACAACAAAATCTTCACTCGATACATTGACATGAATATGTAAATGTTCTTTGGCAATTACAGCAGTCCACATGAAATAATTAGTCATTTGTGGAGTTCCCGGCAAGAGATGCACCTTGCAGAACAAAAACTATACTTGTAATTGCTAAGCACTAAGCAGGTACTTTGTAAAATTATATCTACTAATGCTTTGCTGTGTTGAGAGTCATTAATATTAATAAATTCCTATGTTTGAATTTTGTTTAGTATTTTATATGAAGGTTAAGATATAAAAGTTGTACATTTTGAATGTTTTATTATGAGACAGGCTTTAACTATTGTTGTGCAGGAATGGTACAAGCACGTTCTATGAAAGTAAATGTTAAATAGTCAATGAAAGGAAATGTTAACCTTCAGAAAATGTTGTTCTTCCACCTCAGGAGATCAAAATAAATATTATATAAGCTGTTGTATTTTCTATTCATTTTAAAAGCGCTTTTACATTTTTGCAGATTTATTAGTTAATCAAAATTAAATAGATAAAACAATATATTGAGGGAATTTGTTGTAGTAATAAACAAACATTAAAATGAAAGGTAATACAATAATAATAATAAAATAATCTACAAAAGAAAAGAAAATGCTATACTAAAATGGGTAACGAAGCGATCTAGCTAGTTTGCTATGTCAGTTTGTGGTTATTAGTGACTTTATATTTACATTTATATATTCAGCAAACACTTTGTCAGACATTAAAGAAAAAATATTGGTTTGCTATTTTATATATCTGGGTCATATAATTTCGTGTCAATTCTATTGCCAAAAGATCCTTGCTTGTTACCTTAGCTCGTAGCTTACGCATAATAATTACCTCTCTTTCAAGAGCTGACAAATCATCAAATTTTGTATTTCACCCGTGGCCAGGGAGAATACAAAATTTACATATTCAATTGGTAATATACACTGACATCAGCTTCTCGCTGGCCGAGTAGCTGATAAAAGTATAAACTATTGAAAGTCAAAGTCAGTTTTGATCAGGTGGACCTCGAATTCTCAGATCGAGTTCTTTTAAAACCTGAGCTAGAAATAAACCTGAATGAATTAATAATGATTAATTCCCTTACAACTAAGTAAATTATTACAATATATATATATATATATATATATATATATATATGACATTTTATTATTTTCTCATAGTAATATATATGAAAATCTAATTTGTTCGTCTAGTGCATGTTTACAGAAAAAAAACTAATCAAACAATGCAAAACCGCATTCTGTCTGAACCACCAGTAACAGTATTGAAGGTTGAGCTAATGAAGTCAATGTTACATTTTATGCAAAACTAAGAAAACGAAATTGGATTATTCACTAATTTAAATCTTTTTGAATGATTTTATATTGCTAGACTCAATATTGCCAGATACAAGTTGCTTTTGCAAGGAAAAAGTTACTGCCAGACCATTTCATGTTACTGAACAACACACAATAGCTGTTTCATTCCTCAATGAATCAGTGTGTTTGATCAAATCAGTTAAGAGGATAATTCAGTGACTCACTCACAAAGACTTGTTTCTTTCCTTGTTAGAATAAATAAGTTGAATAAATGATTCAGTGCTACCACCCACTGGTTTTTTTCATTTATATAGCGTTCTTAAAAAATGCAGTCATAACTGATAATTTCTGTTATTGCACATTTTATCTACAATACAGTGCAATCTGTACTAACTTAGTTTATTCATAGTACTGAGTTGTCTGTGTCAGAAAATGGCTTCATATTTTATATAATTTTTCCATCACATTTTTTATATAATTTGGCTTCTGTTGCTGCTGTGTATGCAGTATATGCATGTGTGTGTGTCAGGGTGAATAAAGTTCATGGGAGGTGAGAATGCTCCAGGGTGCATGTTCTGCTTGCCTTTGCCAGTGAACTGAGGCAGGGTAACATAACTCAAACAAGCTTCTGCACTTGGTCTGGTTCTGAATCAGTGCAGGTCACTCAGCTGCTCTGTGAATGTACATGCCCCTGTCAACTGATTGTGAGGAGGCGGTGAAAATGACTGATCCAATTGGTAGCAAGAATGTCTTACAAGTCTTTCCTCTTTCCTTCCGCTCTCATGAATTGAAAAGGGAATTTTGAGTAGCGCAGGCAGAGAGAAGAAAGAGAGAGGAAGATCTAAAGAAATATAAAAATGTGGGGAGACTTTTAGCTCTTCTGACAAACTCACTACAAGGACACAGCCTTGCAGTGTGAGCAACACATCTACATAGCAATGGGTTATCATTGTCAACAAGGCAAAAGACACTGAGGAGGGAATTCACTAAATCTGAAATGTGCCGGCTGATAGTGCCGATTATTTGCACATGCTTTCCATGTTGTTTTAACGCCTGGTTCACAAAAATAATTATGCAAATCAGGTAAGGGTGCAAACATGCCTCAAAATCTGTGCTGAACACAAGCTGTGCAGACAAATTCCTGGTCTTGCAGGCCTGTTCAGAGAGGTAAAGTAGGTTGGGCAGACTACCATGATCTGGCATACTTCACATAGGCTACTTGATTATCATTTGATTAATAACTGCTGCCATTATTAAAAGAAAGTGCACAAATATCTGTTTTAAATAAAATTCTGGCTCCTTCCAGCTTTTCGTTGGTGGTTATAGCACAGTATTAATTGCCATGCAAAGTGCACTGAGTTTTATGAATAATGATGTCTACATATAATGAGCCTAATTTACATAGAAACTGAACAAAAAAACATAAATGTTTGGATTGCGATAATTCATAGTTTGTTAAAATTATTTAGGTATATGCAATACATGAGAAATGCTTTAACCTTTAGCATTATACAACTAGAATCTATATTTAATCAGAAAGAAAAGTTGTTTTATAAGTCAGCAGCAGCAGGAATGGTTTAATTTAAGTTGGAGGCCTCTAGGGACAGGCTACATGGGATGGCCGGCCTCCAGAGCGGTACCTGTTCCGGGACCCATGGCAGATCAGGTAGTTCAGGGAGACATGGTGGAGCAGGGAACTCAGGGGGCCATGGCGGAGCGGCCGCCATGGACTTGGCCTCGGCTCTCGTCCCGGCCTCTACAGCCAGATCCCTATAGCCCCCCCCCAACAAATTCCTTGGTGGAAATTTCGGGTTCTGAGGCCCTCCGTGGGCCTGATGTAGGAGCAGCGGCCCTCCCTGGGCTTGACTCGGGAACTGTGGCCCTCTTTGGACTGGACTTAGGAACAGGAGCTCTCTCTGGGCTTGACTTGGCAACAGAATCTTTTTCTGGGTTTGACTTGGGGACTGGAGCCATCTTTGGGCTGTACGTGGGAACTGCAGCCCTTTCTGGAGCGTACTCAGGGGCTGGAGCCGACACTGGAGCAGAATCAAGGGCTTGAGCCGACAGCCTTTTCATCCTCATATTCCTCCTTTGATTTAGGGTTAAGGAGCGGGCTGCTGTCAGCTGAGGTCTTGGGGGTGAATTGGCCAGCGGGCTTGACAACGGAGCGACCAGCAAATTGACTTCGGAGCGGCCGACAAGCCTGAGAGTGCAGCGGCCGACGGGCTTGACAACGGAGCAGCCGGCGGGCTTGAGAGTGCTGCGGCCGGCAGGCTTGATGGACTGGTTCTGAATCAGGGCCGGACACTCTCCAGACACCTGAGGATACCTTCCCTCCAGCTCAGTCCCGTGGTGTCTGGGAGGTCGACGGGGCGATAGTAGTTGGCCCCGATCCAGAACAGAGAACTCAATGTGGCGTCATCCAACGCCGTCTTAACGGCAAGTCCACACGCATACTCCACAAACGGAAGATCTCTGCGAGCTAGGGCGGAGAATCTCGCTGCGATTTCCATGATCGCGGGGCGGGGGGAACGGAAAACAAAATACTTTAAAAAAACGGAAAACCAAAACATGGGGAGAAGGGCGCCGCTTACTTTCTTTTTGTTGGTAAAGTCGTCTGTCATGGTTTGCCTACTGTTTCGGAACGAAGGAGTGTGGAGAAGATGGAGGGAAACGAGGAGCAATCTTTATTAATCCACATAAAGACATACACGGGCAGGAACACACATAGCACATGGGTTAGGCGTATAAGCATGGACACAGGACTCAGGAACACACAGGGATTAAATTCAGGAACTAAATTGGGAACACCTGGAAACAAGGAACATAATCAAACACAGGAGAAACTGGGTCATGGGGAGCACATGGGGAGCAAAACACAAGACGTGGAACACAGGGGCAGTCCGAGGGCGTGACAGCATCACAATCCACCAACATATTTTTTAAAATATTAATATTGTCAGGGTTTTGCCCTGACACTCTGGTTGTCTTGTGTTTTGTTTCTTGTGTCTATGTTGTCTTGTCAGCACATGGCCTAGTTGTTTGTTTTTCTCAGCCATGTGCTTCTTTAGCCCCTCCTCCTGGTTTCCTCATTACCACACCCTCTTGTTAGCCCTTATTGAGTCCTTGTTAGTGTAATTGCTCTTGGGGTGCTTCAGAGTTTATGGTCCATAAGTTCTGAGCTCAGCTCTCTGGTGCCTTGCTCTGGTCTCTCCACCGACCTGGTCTTGCCGCCGCCTCTGCTGCTATAGTATTCTGCCAGTTGATTTCTGAGGCTGTCCCAGTGGCCTTCCCTAGCTATGTGTTTATTGTGTTCCTGTTGTGGTATCACCTGTGCACCTCACTACCCTTTCGTATTAATCTGTTTTGTCAATAAACCCTTGTTACTCACACAGCAATTGGGTCCTCCTTCCAGATCCCTGACAAATATTTTTGGGGAAACTGTTCCTTTAAGTAAATAATGTAAGGGCTACTTTAGTGTAGCTAAGAGCAATTCTATTTATGAGTAAATATTTAAATGTACGTATAAGCAACACTTTCTATTTACTGTATATATTAGGCTTGTTTTCAGAAAATATTTCAAATAAGAGTATTTTGTGTATTTACAGTAGATTCTGTTATCTTGCATAAACTAATGGCATGTGTTACAATGACATTTTATGGAATGCAGTCGGCCATCCATAAAAATACATGTAGCTGTAGTCGAATGCAAGAATTTGCTCCTCATTGTGTGTCATTATTTAGTCATTTACTGGAAAAAGCCATTTTTGTTGTCCAAGTCCAGGACTTATTTTAAACTCCTAGATGGAAATATCTGTTCTGTTTTCAGACATTTGCCGCTTTGACTTTCACCTCCCTAATCTCTCTGTCCTTCTCTCGTCCCATTCTTTTTCTCTCCGCCCGGGACAACTCATTTAATGACATGCTGCTAATCCTATTAGACAGCTCGCTCGTTCTGTTACTCTAGTGGATATCCCTCTGTCACAAATCCTGTTCGCCTGGACAAACCTAAAATGGTTTTCTAATTGTGGATTGTTAATTGCAATCAAGAATCTATGATAAGACAGAGACTCTCGTAGGCCTATTATCTATTATATTACTTTGGATGATATCATCTAATACACAAGAGGTTTGAAAGACACGTTAAAGCGCCCGCTGTATTTCTGCTCAGCCAGTGATGCACATTTGATTTGTTTGCCTGTTTATGTTACGGGGTGGAGTGGTATGAAGGGGTTGGAGAGATGGAATGACACTTGACAGATCTTATGTCTTGCAAGTCAATGTTCTCTCTCATTCTTTCGCCCCCCTCTTTCTTTCTGCCTCTTGACACCTGATGTGTGCATCTCACTCCCCCGACCTCTGATTTTTGATGCTCCGCATAGCAGCAGAATGAGAAACTGTCATATTTTTCTTTCAGTTTTTCATTCTATCGCTTTTTCTTTCTCATTGCTGTTTGTGTGTCTCTCGTTTGATTTAACTTTATTTCACTTGGCCTTGGTTCCATTTGCACTGTGTCTGACCATGTATGTAAAAAAAGATTGATAAAATCAGTGCCTTGATGAAAAAGAAACAGTGTAAACCATCCTAAGGTGGTTTGGCTGATTTGCTGTGTTGTTTTTAGAGAGGATACTTGACAGCTAGAAGACCAGCTGACTGATGTGCTAAATCACTCTTAAAAAAAAAATGCTGGGGTGTTTCAACACAACTTTGGGTCAAATATGGACTAACCCAACTTTTGGGTTAAAAATTGTATTTAAAAATTTTACCCAACAGCTGGGTTAGTCCATATTTGACCCAAAGTTGGATTGAAACAACCCAGCATTTTTTTAAAGTTTAAGGGCCATGCTAGACCGTCTTAAACTAGCAAAAACATACTAAAACCAGCAAACCACCTGTCTAAAGATTGGTTTGGTATTTTTTTTCCAGCTAGGTAAGTAATGAGTTAGTTCATAGATTCCCAAGAATAAAAAATCCCACAACCCACTTTTTGAGATATCAGAGTATAAATCTGAAGCCCACTGTGACGAGAGGGGCGGGGCCGAGAGCCGTGGGAAAGGAGCGATACCGGTGGAGTAAATGCTAATGCACGACACCTGCGCCACTCACCGGTCTCGAGTCCCACGGAGGAGCTCCGGAAGGATAAAAGTAGAAGTGACAACAGTGTTGGGGGAGAGAGGACCAGACCTGAATTTTATTTTGTGTTTTGTGTGCGGCAGTCGTCCACGAGGGGCTACCGCTTTACTTTCATTTTGTGTTATATTCATATTCCAAATGTTCTGTTTAAATGTTCGCCGGTTCTCGCCTCCTTCTTCCCGAACTACGAACTTTGTTACACCCACCAGCTCATTTCATTCCTAATTCATGATCAGCTTTCAAGAGTAATTTGTACCATTTCACAAATAACGTTTTATATTTGTTTTTTTTTTGTATAAAATAAAATTTGGTTCATTCAGTTGAAGTTGGAAGGAAGCTGAAGTGAAATTAAACGAATAGCTCAGAGAACCATAAATAATCATAAACTTATCATATGCCATATTCCAGGTGTTCTGGAGACATATCATTGGTTTGTGTGAAAAACAGACTGAAATGTGTTATTTTTCAGTGAAAACCTTGCCTTGAACGCTTTGACAATATCTTTTGTGTTCCGTGGAAGAAAGGTATTAATACAGGTTTTGAAATGCATACATTGTATTGAATACATGCAAATGGAAAGTCCTCAAACCCGTAAGAAAATATATTCAAGGTCCTGTGTGTGCAGGAGTTGTGTGCGAGTTCAAGATCAATCCAAACTGTGACAAATGTGTGTGTATGTTATGGGATTTACTGGAGAGAGCCATGTTTCGTCATCAGAATCCAGGTCTTAAATTAGACACTTGGATCAGTCTGTTCTGTTTCCAGAAATGTATTGCTACTTTGATTTTCACATCCCTAATCTAATGTAATCTAATATAGTATAATCACCATAATAATGTAAATGTGTGTATGTGTGCGTTTGTGTGTGTGCAGTTGAGTGTCTTAATGTCTCTATTAGTCATCTGTAGTGTGGTGTTCTGGTTCAATAAGGCTATAGACAAGACAAAGTGCCGCAGATAAATGCTCCTGTGAAAATAAAATGCATGCACTCTCTCTCTTGCTTTCTCTCTCATACTCTTAAGATATGTTCAGTTTAACAAACGTATAAGTGGGAAAGAACATCTTTTTGTAGACACACAATTGTTCACATCCTTCAGTTTCAGACTGTCCTCCATTGTGTTGACAAGAGTCCTTTGTGGCTTGTTAAAGATTTTTGTTGGGAGATTGTTGCAGTGTAAATATGCGTGTCTGTGGTTCAAGTTAATATCTGGTGTTATATTTTGTCTCTTGTGGTTCATTAGAGGGCTCGCAAGTCTCGTGTGTCCAGCGTATAGGTTTTTGGCATGCGAGTGTGTCAGAGTGAGCCAGTGTCGCTGTGCTTCCTTTGGCCTGTGAATACTAAGCTGCATATTGAGTGCCTAAAGTATTCCCATTGGGTACTCAAGAGAGCCAGAAGAAACCACTTCTGCTGTTGCACACAAGCCTAGTTTGACACAGCAACACACAAACACACATACATAAAGCACATGTAGGTCCTAATATTGAGGGGGGTTAATTTATCTCTATTTGTTGTCTGTTTATCAATATTGTCCCTGTTTGTGTGCTAGAAAACAGGATTGTTATTAGTCATAATGTGCTGTCTTATTGATGGGGTCAAATGACAAAACATACCTGAAAGATTTTTGCTTGAAATCAGCGTTGACTCATGGATGCGTAAATAAGCTTATTGCTTGCATGGCTGTTTTTTTTCTTTTCTTCTTTGTGTACAATAGATTATAGTTGTAGTTACAGGCTCTGGACAAAAAATGAATATTCAATTTGTAGGTGAATTGTGTAGAAATACAACTATTCTGTTGGCAAGTAGATTTTAATTATGCATTTCAGCTGCAATTATGATTTTCAGGAATATGATTGAACAGTTGCAAACAACATGCATTTGCTTTATCTTTGTTCGTGTTTGAACTCCAGTTTTGTGCATTTGACGCTGAAAGGTTAGCCAAACTCTTTTAAGTAAAAGTAAAAGTTAATTTGTCTTAACATCCATATTTTCATCTCTCTGTTCTGTCTTTCCCCTTCAGTTCCTTTCTCTTCTTTTTGCTTGTTGTTTTAAGTAGTTATTAGATAGGACAACTCTTGCCTCTGGCAATATTGTGCTGAGCTATCTAAATTTATATTCACCAGCGTGTGTCACAACCCGGCTGATCCGTCCATAGCCACCTACCCAAAGCACACAGTCGTACACACACACACACACACACACATACGCAAAATCCTTTTATGTTGACTTTGATGTGACGAGAAAAAGCAACGCACTGACCCTTGTTTGGCATAACACACACGCACCCTCCCACACACAATGTGTTCATAGATGATGAACACTGGCTTTAACATAAGCATGCATGGACATAAACACACACACACACACACACACACACACACACACACATACTCTCAAACTTCCCCCAGGCTGTGTCTGTTTTGAAGCTCTGTCTATCAGTGCATACAGTGAGGTGATAGTGTAGAGGAGACAAAACCCCTGACTCTGCAGTAAGAAAGAGGAGAAAAGAACAATCACTCAAAACAGAGAGAGAGAGAGAGAGAGAGAGAGAGAGAGAGAGAGAGAAAAGATTGTCCTTCAAAGATTGCCTAACACTCCCTAACAACCACCGGAGGGCAGCACGCCTGTCGCCACGACAACTACCATGAGGACTGATGAGTTATTGCACCTGTTCTGTGCGCTCATAGTCATACATCCTGGTCAGTGGTGACTCTGGCTCATTTGATTACTCAGGGAAGTTTAGATTTGACATTACATTCCAATAAAATTA